TTGCACAGCACTTTTTAGTGCCCATCTTTTGCGCTAATCCTGTCTGCGTCAGCTCGGCGCAGTTCTGTTCCCTGAGAAATGACAGACCCATGAAATCCTTTAGTTTAGTTTTTAGTTGGCATTCTGCTCAAGTCAGAAATGAGTCAGTGGTATTTCAAACAGAGGTGATTCACTCATTCCTCACTTCTGCAGCGGGCCTCTCTGGCTTTGTTCAGAACCTCCTGCGCCGATGCCAGGATGGTCCTGACGCACATTTTCTGTCGCACAGAGCAGAAACAGAATCTCTGTCTTCTGTCACCGTGCTTATAAATCTTCAGTTGCTAAAGCACACGTTTTACTTTTTGGGATAAACGTGTCAAACCCGTTGTAATTTACCAACATGAATTTTGCAAACGTGCCATTAGAACACAGTGTGATGAAAAAACAACCAACAAAGTAAATGTGGAGTTCTGTGAGTGAAAGAACGCAGAGAAACTTTTCAAAGTTGAGCATTTTAGAGCCGGTCTGAGTCATTTTTTTTATTAACTTCGATAACCGACACCTCCTTTTTAAACAAATAGACCTTTAACAGTGCAGACTGGTAGAGCAAAATGTAACAGTATTTCAATTCAATTAATTTATTTACAGTATATAGCGCCAAATCACAACAAGAGTCGTCTCAAGGCACTTCACAAAGTAAGAAATTCCAATTGAGTTCAGTTCATTATGCAAATGAGTTGAACGTTTCCTATATAAGGAATCCAGCAGATCGCATTGAGTCGTAGACTAGTGTCAGTGTCTTTACAGCAATCCCCATACTAAGCAAGCATGTAATGACAGGGCAGAGAAAAACTCCCTTCTAACAGGACATATTAGCTTTAAAGGGCGACTTAGCAGTTTTGACTTGCTTTTAGCACCCCCTTGTGTCCATTTAGTATAACCCAAAGTGAAACGTATCTCTACGCTGTGCATTTGTTTCACTAACCAGCTCAGTGGCCTAGTGGTAGAGTGTCCGCCCTGAGACTGGGAGATCTGGGTTCGATTCCTGGTCGGGTCATACCAAAGACTTTGAAAAAATGGGACCCAATGCCTCCCTGCTTGACACTTAGCATTAAGGGTTGGATTGGGGGGTTAAACCACCAAAAGGTTCCCGAGCGCAGCTGTGTCTGCAGCTCACCGCTCCCCCAGGGGATGGGTCAAATGCTGAGAACAAATTTCGCACACACATCAGTGTGTGTGACAACTAATGGGACTTTAACTTTTGAGCGCCGTTATGGCTGCTCTCGTGACTGCCTGTACCTGTTTTTGTTTATATGTGTGTGTGTTTAACCTTGGCCAGGTTGTGTTCGCGGAGTCAAGTTCCTATGCTCTGGGTCGCAGGAGCGCTGGCAATAAAGCTGATTCTGATTCTGAAATGTCTCCTCAGCCTTCATTAGTGTCTACAGGAGCGATTCCTAACAAAATCATGTTCATGAGCTAAAACATGCAGGAAACATGATGGAAGCAGACTCCAGGGCCACTTTTACAAAGTTCAGCAGGAGGTGGCCTACCATTCTAAAGTTGCAAGTGCGGTATTCTGGCCACATAGGGTGGTGGGGTCTGAGTGACACTTCATTATCCCGTAAAGGGTTATTTGAGCACATACTGGCTCAAGAAACATGAAAAAGTTGTACAGTATGTCTTTGAGATGAAATTTTGTTAAGTCTACAGATTTGAACTGAATCTATTTTAACAAGATAAACTAAAAGATCTTACAAATGTCATAACTAGAGATACAGGAACATATCGATATACTGAAATATCGCAACATTTTGTGCCTTGATACTGAATCCTTTATGTGGTGTAATTGAAACTCCGACTGCTAGATGGCAGCAGCTTTTACTGCCTATGTTTTAATGAAACAACAACATCTGGATGCGTCCTGAAAACACCTGGTCTGGTCTTAAAAATTGCAAATATCGTCTGGCTTTCAGTATTGTAACATATCGTATCATCTCTGCTGTAGGGCTGCAACAAACGATTATTTGGATAATCGATTAATCGGATGGGGTCTCGACACGATTAATCGATTAATCGGATTACATGGGGAAATTTTTAAAAACTGCTAGGGAAACGTTATTTCTCTCCTTCCTTCACTTTATTTAAAACAACATTATTAGAAAACAGTTCAATAGCAGAAAAACAACATGCCATCACCTAAATTGTCTTATAAGGTGAATAGACAGAGACCCTAAGCTACATCTATCTGTGACCTAAAATGCTTGGTCCAAGTTAAACAGCTTAAGGGCAATTCTCATCTGTTTTGTTTGATCTCATCTGTTGACATTTATTTTAAATGTAATTAAACATAGGCTGTGAATTAATTAAAATTGATCACTATTTCCAAAAATGACTGAAAAAATACCAAATAAAACAAAAGTAAATGAATGCCATCCTCCTTGCGATGATGCCCTGGGCAACTGCCGTAAAGTCACATCAAGAAATGCTGCTGATCATTCCAATGATCCCAAATAGACTCACATTAGGCCACATGAAAGCAACTGAACCCAAAAATATATTAACCAGTATATAACTGCACTCTCACACAACACGCCTGCAGCAACAGTTAGGACTCCTCCCTCCCTTTTAAAAGCTTTTTTGCTTCCGAGGACATTGTGGTTGTAAAACCACATGCTAGTAGTCTGGCCCCGGTGTGATCAACCAGTTTCTGCGGGAATGTGACGGCGGAACCAGGGCCAGATTAACACTTTGTTGTACCCTGGGCAACAATATTCAAGGGCTCCATCATCACGACCCGAGGATCACCATAATGTGGTCACATACAGAATATTTTACTGTAATATGCAGTAAATTTACTCAATACTTGAATGCCTGACAACACGTAACCCGCCCAGAGTAACCTTTGACACACCTCGTGTGGACTGACCAATGAGGAGAGGGTCTTAACTTGAGGCCCTCTCTTCATTGGTCAGTCTGCATGAGACTGACTCTCAACTGACGTTCAGAGTCATAGGCAGCGAAGCGTCTCTGTGCAGCGCAAAAGCCCGGGTGGACAGTTTGTTTAATGTAGGGTGATCATATTTCCATTTCCAAACAAGAGGACAGGGGATCTGTGCCTATGACGTCACACTATGGCAACGCCGCACAAACCATGTTGGGACCCATTTTTTGTAAGAACTAAATTAATATCAGATTCTGCCAATAAAAGGGCTCTAAAACAATTCATATGTAAATATTTTGCATATTTAATGCAAAATCTCATTTTTCTGCTTTAGTGCTGCAACAAGGTTTTATTAATAATAAATTATTATACCTTTTGTTTTACTACAGCATCGGTAAGCTTCCTGTGCACAGATTATTAAGGATGCTTGTTTCAGCTGTGAGATTAGACGATAGGATCAATGATAAAATAAGTTGTCACAAACTCCATGGAAACTTTCAGATAATCCACAAATAGTGGCTTTCAAATGGTTTTGTTACTTTCTGCAAGTTTAGAAAAGAAGCAGATGAGACAGCATGTCTGATAATTTAGTTTTTCATCTGATATATTAGAACATGTCAGTAATGTCTGAGGGGCTTTTACAAACACTGTATAACTAACACTACTGGAGAGGGCATGAATTACACAGAGGCTTCTGGGGAGCCCAGTTATGGGGGGGGGGGGCATTTTGCCTTGGCCCCCAAAATGTCTTGAAACGGCCCTGGGTGTGTGACTGAGTTTTGAAGGTGATCTGAATTGTATCAGATGTATAACTATGACATGTGTATAACTTATTGTTTTTTACTGGTAAAAACGTGTAGTGGAGATAAATCTACCTACATTTTACTTTGTTTTTTTGTTTTTATTTAACTATTTTCCTGTCCTGTCTGTCTCTCATCTTCCTGCATCTCCTCATAATTCTCCAGAAAATCTGTTGCCTGGATTCTTACTTTTTCACCTCATCATTTACTTTTGAGCAGATCAAAGGGATCTCCTGACCGCAAAGCGGAGAGCGCGTTTTCGATGCTGCGTGAGGTGAAATCACCGCAGCACAGGTGATGAGCTCCGCAGTAGCGCGCTTCAGGCACAAATAAGACAGAAAATAGAGAACATGTGCAGACAAGAACGATCGTGTGCTAATTATAGTTTTTTGGTTGCGCCACTTTGAGAATGGACCGTGCGCTGGAAGCAGCTGCCTGGATCGCTGTGCAACAATGCGGAACCAGTTCGCAGCAGCGCAAGTCTGCAGGCTCTCCCTCGCGCTGATCTGCCGGTACCGGCTCTCCCTCTCGCTGATCTGACTTGCTCTGGTCTGCGCGCAACGGCGGGCGTGGGGGTGGGGGGGGGTGGGGGGGGGGGGGGGCGCTTTTGGAAGAGTTGTGCGACACAACGAATCGATGACGCAATTCGTTGCCAACGCTTTTAGTAATCGATTTTCATCGAATTCATCGATTCGTTGTTGCAGCCCTACTCTGCTGTATTGTGGTATATATCGTATCGCCTGATTCTTGCCAGTACACACCCCTAATTACCATTTTGACTGCTTTGTTTGTTCTCATGTTAGCAGAGAAGTAAGTAAAAAAGGAGGTTTTTGCCTTGTTTCTAAAAGAGGCCATCTTCCATTTCTTCATGTTTTCAATCCAAACAGCCCCCCTTAAAACTGGTCATGATCACACATTTTTCAGGGTTTTGGAAGACCTTCTAAAGCTCCTCCGTTGACTTTTTAAACCAGATTTCAGTTCAGTACTGACAGCTTTTTAGAAGAATGTTAATTAACAAAAAAAAAATTTTTCTGATCTTGTAAATAGCCTTTTAGCATCTTCTTTTGTCCTCCTCTTTTGCTCTTTCCTTATTTTTGGAGCACAACTGAAAAGAAAGAACAAAGTCCAGACAAAAATGTGCAATGGAGGGATATCAATCTTTGCATGGATCAGAAACATAATATTATGAATGTAAATATGGACTTCTGACCCTTCACTTCGATCCAAGAACGTCTGATTCTGTATTTTTTTCTGACATTACCCCCCTCCTTCCTTTGCAGGTATCAGTATTACCTGCAGGTGAAGAAGGAGGTGCTGGATGGACGCCTGCCGTGCACTGTGGAGCGGGGCATCAGACTAGCTGGGCTAGCGGTACAAGGTGAAACACATGTAGAGACTCTCACGTGAATCATTTACCAGAGAGTCGGCCTCGGAGGGTAGAGCGAGCACGGCTCACGCTTCCTCGGGTCATCCTGACTCTCCTACCTTATATGGCTGCATACCAAAGGGAGTCCACTTGAGTTCCTATGGTATCAGCCACACACACACGCACACACACACACACACACACACACACACACACACACACACACACACACACACACACACACACACACACACACACACACACACACACACACACACACACACACACACACACACACACATTCCCAGGGGAAATGTAAACAGCTTATCGGTGGCTCCACAGTTAGCTGCAGCTGCAGCAGGAAGACTCTTATCGGTGAGGAGGCAAGGATCCTCCGCTCCAAAACATCCCTCAGAACAAGCTCTGTCTGATAAACGAACACGTTATAGAGATGTTTACATGTGCGGGGGTGACGCTGACATACTCAGTAATCTTGAGTTGTAAATATTCGAAACACTCGCGTAGTAGATGTTACAAAGACCTTTTAGACTCGTAAAGGATTAGGAAATGACTAAACTATGTGTGAGACATAAAAAGCACATTGTTTGCTTTTTCATTAAAATAAAAAATGAAAACATCTTTAATGCTTTTTATATGATTTGATTGTGAGATTCAGAGAACTTTATGAATAAATGGAATCAAATTTGATGTTAATTTGAAAGGTTTAGGACTGTTGGCAGACGTGATTTCCTAGAAATCCGATCTGAGCTACAACTTTTCAGAATAAGATCTCTAACAGATTTTAAAATAGGACATTCCTCATAAAAGGTATTTATAGCTAAGGAAGGAAGGTTCTTACCCTGGAACGTGGGATTTTGCCTAATTATTAAGCTGTAACATCGAATCGTTTAAAATGATTGCTCCTCTCACTTGTTTGTTCTTGATTTTTAGATGAAATCTAAGCCTTTGCTGGCTTGCATTAAGGCCTTGACCTTCTTCAATGTTGTGGATTTATTCCCTTTTTTACAGCTTGATGGGGTTAGGATTATATTTTTCATGTCTTAATTTTCAACATGAAAACATTTGAGCTGATCATCCTTATGGAAGCTTTTCTGACTCGAAGGAGGTCCCGATTCTTGCAATAGTCTTCCCCATTTAACTTGTGCATGACCAATTCAGCAAAAAAGTACTAAAAGAAAGGTTTAATTTTCTTAATCTAAACTTTTTTAGGGGTTTAAATAATTTTTTATCCATGTTGTGTTCAGATTTCAGGCATGTTTTTGTTGTGATCTTTAGTTGACTCTTAAATCAAATTAGCAGTTAGTTTTAGCCTTTTGGGTAAACTGTTTATTACGGCTGATGCAAAGATTCTGCTCAATAATTATTAAATTCTACTCTAATCTATTATTTAATCTTTCTCTTTTTCCATGTGTCTGGTTTTTGTAGCCGACTTTGGAGACTTCACTCACTCTTCGTCTCAGGACTTCCTCAGGGATTTAATGCTCTTCCCAGTGGTGAGCTCTCAAACTTTTAAAGCTCATATAGGAATTTTTTGTGTTTCTCGGTAAAAACGCTGCTTGAAGGCACACATTCTCGTGACAGTTTTGAACCTCTTCCTGATGCATTCCTGCGTAACAAGCAGAAAGTATGTTGGAGTGAGATCAAAACCAAGATGCAATTATTCAATTATGGGATTCATGATGGATTATTAAATGATTCAAATTTAGGTTCCTATTTATTTTATTGTAATTATCCTTCATTTGATCCCCAATTAGTAGTTAGTCTTATTAATCTGTTGCATGCTGTTGCATCTTCTGCCCTGCAGAATTGGCCCAATGGAGATGAAGTGTTGGATGACTGGACCAAGAGAGTTGCTGATGAGCACAAAAGTCACTGGTATTAGCAGCAGCAGCTACACCATATGGAAACAAAAGAAAGATTTAAAAAAGCAGTTTTGATGAATATCTTACCTGAAGTTGACGGCTCTTAGGACAGACTCAATTTAAAGAACAATGATTGACAAGCTAACTGCTAGTCCAACTGAGACCGAAGTAGAAGTTTTACCATCTAAAAAAAAAACTCCAGTCTCATGTTTTTTTTTTTTGTTCTGTAAACTTTTACTAGAAACCCAGACAACCCGTAACAGTAGTTGAATATTTAGCTCTGCAGGTCAGTCTCGCCACGCGCCATTGTAGCCTCAGCAGGTCGACCATTGGCTTGGCTAAGTTTACGCAGTGCCAATCACAACACTTTATGGTTTTAGACAGACGCTGGGCGGGCTTAGCGCCATTATGTCAGAGCTGCAACAGAACAAAACAATAAAGATGGTGGCGACTCAGGAATGACGCTCGTTTGAAACCAATTTGGCATCAACTTTGGACGACTTAGAGGGGATCTTTTTGGTCCTCGTCTTTGACTGATTGCCGTGGCGGTGAATACGCCGTGCCGTTTATTGCTTTGATTTGTCCTAGCGCTGTACCGCTGCACGCGTGGCAGTTTGAAAGACAATCGTAGGTTCTATTTACATACATAGGATGACTTGCGTTAACGTTTTTATTCAAACGTTTTTATAAATGCATTTTTATGGTTATATGTAAGCTCAGATTGTGGCAGCAGCAGCAGCAGCAGCTAGCTGTAGGTTTAGCCATAATATGAACTTGAGAGCAATGTAAAGGTTTATGTACATAATAGCTTTTATATGAACCATTATGATTATTTAGAGATTTGAGATTTTTTTTTAACTCATTCACTGCCAATTTGCATTTTTTTACTGTTTGAGCATCGGAACGAGCCCCCGCGCTGAGAGAACAAACATCTCAGCCCTGAAGCCGATCTTCATCCGCATACGTCACAGATCACATGATCAGGAAGCAACACATCCATGTATTAGGAGATCGTTTTGGGCCGTTCCTGTAAAAAAAGTGAGGCGCGAACCAGAAAAGCGTCTGCCGATCACAATTCGACAACGGATTATGAAAGAACGGATAACGCTCGAAACACGCGTCTTCTTCCTGATGTAAGAAGTGAGTCTCCTCTTTGTTTTGGTTGTTTTGGCATCGACATCATGCTAGCGCGCAACGTTCTGACTCTTAAAAAACAGTAAAAACGGTGAGAAACGCTGGCAGCGAAGGCCGTTAGTGATCAGGAAATGGCTGGCAGTGAATAAGTTAACTGCAGTGATCAAGTTTGATCTAGAGCTCAGTTGGACTAGCCGTTAGCTCATCAATCCTGTCAGGGTTAAAATCTTATTTCACTTACATTTTTACAGAACTATCAGTTTGGTAAAATTGATCATGTCTTACATCTGTCGTTTAAAGTGGAATGCAGCCTGCTGAAGCAGAACTGCTTTATATAAAGGAGGTGGAGAAACTTGACGGTTTCGGCCAGGAGAGCTTTCTTGCTAAGGTGGATGATTTTTGCATCTCTTCACAAACTTACATGTTAAAAACATCTTTGTAATGAAAAGAAAATGTCTGAAAACGAGTTTATCCCCTACAGGACAACTACACCAATGACATTTTCATTGGCGTGTCTTTCATCGGGCTGTTTGTGAAACACAGGAACGGCAGATCCATCATGCTCCACAAGTACGTGCCTCCACTATTTTGGGACTAGCACAGATGTATGATGGGAAATCTATAAAAAAAATGTGTTTCTTTGTGCGCAACAGGTGGAAGGACATTGGTACCATAGCACACAACAAGGCAGCCATCACAGTGGAGATAACGAGCAGAGACGACACCATCAATTTTCACATGGTGAGTGTTGTGTCTACAGGTTCTGCTGAAAGAGTCAAACTCAAAACACCTCCTGCAAGGTGGACGGTTACATCTACAGGTGTGACTGTGGAAGAAAGTACAGGAGGGGGAGGAGCTTCGTGTTGTTTCCAGAAACCCATCCATGTTTCCTCCCTTGTGTGTGTATCTGCAGGAGGATATGGAAATGGCCAAGTACATTGCTCGTCTCTTCACGGCTCGACACAAATTCTACAAACAGAACAAAATCTGCACAGAGTGAGTCTCAAGGCTGCACGGAGAGGCCAGCTGAAGGCCTTTAGAGTAACTACAGTCCACGTGTGGCTTTTAGAATCAAAGCTTGTGCACAACGTTGGTTATAGTTGAGTAAAATATCATTTTTGTCTTTATGTGGTCATCTTTCCTACCAGGCCCACACACTCACCTGCACCAATTAGAAGGAGACCCACCTGGAACCCTCGTTTATCTCTGGTAAACTTTCTGGTCTTACATTAGAAGATCTTAGCAGGAATGACTAAAATGGAGATCCAGTTCCACTCGGAGCAGCTCCTTGTGCCCTGAAGTTTTGTTTGAAATGTGCGTTGGCGTTGTTGGAAAGTCACCATGGGTGTTGCTTCCATTACGACAATGAAGGCAGTGATTTCTGCCTCTCCTTCCCAGCAGGCCAGACAATGGTTACGCTAAATGTGGCTCGACTGGAATCCTGGGACTTTTCAGATTAAAGAACCACTTACAGCGCTTCTATTTACTTGTGTTTTATCTGTTTTTTCTTTGAAAGCCACGACCCCAATCCTGTAACTTCCAGTCAGTGCACGAGCACTATCAGGACACGCAGAGCTCTCAAGGTGAAACACACACACGCACAAATTTAGAGCAAGTCCCACCCTCTCCCTCTCACCATCCAAAGCACGCTTTGATTTCATTAGAAAAAAGGTCCCCCCCCCCCCCCCCCCCCCCGAGAATAACTCAAAAACATTTTGACTTGAGCTAATTGTGTTTTTCCCACCAGTCGTGTGACTCAGAGTAAATTTTAACGAGCTCCCAGCCAATTAGAGCTCAAAGTTTTGGGGTGCAGTGCGGTGACCTCATTTGCGCTTCACCCTTTCATCGACTCATTCACACACTCAGGCCGCCTTGTAATCCAAAGAGCTTTGCTCACGTTAGCTTGACAATAAAACAAGAGCGGGGAAAAACACTCTGGGTGTGCTGCTGCTGTGTGTGGGTGTGAGATCAGTCTGCAGTGTGACCTCAGCCACCACTCTCTAGATCGCAAGCGTGGACAAATATTGGCTTTTAACTACAGGAAAAAACATAAAACCTGCAATTATAGAGAAATTAATAATTGATTGATCTGTATTCGTTAAATCCTATGAACTTTATTATACTTCCTCTGTTTTTCAAAGTAAAACACTTTTCAGGGTTAGCTTAAACGTCAGGAGAACTTTTGGCACCCTCACCCCCGTTGCCAAAATCATGTTGGGCGCGTCTAAAATTTATAGCCTTTAAAGCTACCTGGAGAAAGGTTTTCCTCTGTGTTGAGCTATGCAGAAGTGTGGTTACTATGGAATAAAAATGACATTAGATCGTTTAAAATAATTCTCATTTGTGCCGTTATTGCTACATCAGGGCACGTTTTTCACAAGAAATAGTTCTTCTCATTTTTGTTCGACAAACTTTTAAAGGCGAGATGTCCAAATATCAGGAAGTAAGATTCTAAATCCTGCTGTCTGAAGTTCTCCTCTGAGCACACCGGGGCGTTTGGTACCCAGAGTTACAAATAGGGCTGCACGATATATCGTAAATAAATCGTTATCGCGATATCAGCATGCGCAATATGCATATCGCAAAGAACAGATAAATATGACAATGAATGGCCAGCTCAAATGTTTGCTACACATAATGCGTTCTGTCAATCGAACGGAAGCATGATGTTTTGTTAACAGATCAAATAGAGCTCTTCACCCATTCGGCCAAATTGGCTGGGTTCTCATAGGTCAGATGCCCGCCCCCGAGGCGGATGGCACTTCATTTTGATGGTTAGCAAACACCTGAGTTAGCTTTGTTAGCTCTTTCTGCTGATTCTGCTTTTCCCGTGATCCACTGGTCGCCTTTTCTTGTTTTTTTTTTTTTTCCTTTTCCTCACATCTTTTGCATTTCTCATTTTTATGATATTTTTACTTCTTTTAGATAATTTTTGTTCCTGAGTTAAGTTTTTATTTATCGCAAGTAATATCGTCATCACAATATTATTCATTATCGAATATTGCAGGTTTTCCTAATATCGTGCAGCCCTAGTTACAAGGCATTCATTCCCGCTAGAGACCACTGCAAATGTATTGATTCTAGGAGTGAACAACGTCTTTAAATTATTTAGAATACTCATAGCCATTAACAGCTAGAGCATTATTGTAGCTTGAATTTGGTTGGTTATGCTCCATGTTCTCCTTGTAGACAGCATCTTCCATGAGGATCCTTACTACAAGTCAGAGACCAGTCTGGATCGGTGCCCGGTGGACTTTGCCTTCCGAAATGGCACCGTGACCAATGGGAGCATGTACAGCAGCCCCAGCCTGAGCTCCCTTAATCGTTCCCAGACCTTCATCCCGGCTTCGCCCATGTCCTCCAACCTGAGCATTCCCGGCAGTGAGCTCATGCGTGCCGACTTCATTCCTAGCCACCGTCACAGCGCCATCATTCCTCCATCTTACCGGCCCACTCCTGAGTATGATGCTGTCATGCGGCAGAAGCGGCGCCTGGTCCCAGCTCACCACGACCTCCACAGCCAGTCACTGCGGAGTCTGAACATCATTAATGCTTGTGCTTACCGTAAGCCGGAGGCTCTAGTCTACAGCCAGCCAGAAATAAGGGAACAGGGCCCTTATCATGGCCTTGGTCCTAGTCTTGGACCATACACACCACAGGTAGTGCTGGATTCTCCGTATCTAATTTTCATCCTAACTTACTGGTTTAATTCACCTCCCACTGTCTGTCTGCTTTACAGATCAGTTACAGTAAGCCGGTGTCCCATGGCCCCCATACAGGAGGGCCAGCCGGCAGCCAGGGTCATTGTCACTCACCCTTCGTTAATGGAGGTGGAGGCAGCCCCGGGGGTGTGGGAAGCTCCATCTCCCACACTGTAAGCACACCCGACCTGGCAAACACCAAACAAGGAGCCAACATGGGAGGTTACGCTGCTACAGCTAATATGCTACAAAACCACATCTCACGTCCTCCTCCACCTTACCCCTCCAACGCTTTCCGCCCAGCCACCAGCACGCCGGACCTCGCCAGCCACCGCCATCGCTGCATCGGAGGCAGCAGTCCTGAGCTGGTCACCCGCATGGTGCAGCTGTCAGTCAAGACCTTCCAACCAGACAGCTCAGCAGTGGTGCACCAGTCCCTGCAGGAAGTTAGCGAACCGCTAACTGCAGCTGCAAAGCATCGGTCCACTCTGAACAAGAGGCACAGCATGGAGGTGATCACCAGCCTCAGAGGAGGAGGAGTGATGGAAGGGCTGGCGTTGAAGGGCATGAACGCCCCTCTTCTTCGGAGGAATACTCTCAGAGAACATGTGATGCCACCTCAGCCTCAGCAGCCAAAGGAACTGGCCATACAGAAATCTACCCAGAATGCACCTGAAGCTTCTGTAGCACCACCCACAGCCGCGGCTTACCAGCATCAGAAGACTCTTTCAAATGCTACGATGCTCATACACAGCAGTGAGAGTGAGGAGGAGGAGGAAGAGGAGAGGCCTGAGCTGGACGTTCAGATCCCTGGTCTCAACGAGGACATCAGTATCAGCGCTCAGCTGCAGGCTGCTCTGGCTAAGCTGCCAAACAAACCTCCACCAGGGTACCCTGGCCCTCCAAGACCTCCTGCCAATGCTCAGATCTGCTCTCACAATCACAACGCCACCCAGCAGCACAACCACAGTCAGGAACCAGAGTGCAACCACGATCCGATGGACCTAAACCAAGGCCTGAACAGTGGGCCGAACCAGGGTGGCGGTGGGGGGACGTTGACCCGAGGGGACCATAGCAGCGTGAATGGAGCAGTTTTAGGTCCATCTATTTCAGAACCAGACTTGACTAGCGTGAAGGAGAGGGTGAGGAAGGAACCGGTCAAGGAGAGGCCAGTGTCTGAGATGTTCTCCCTGGAAGACAGCATAGTGGAGAGGGAGATCGCTCAGAGGGTAAGGTGACCCCTTTGACTTACAATATATATGAGTAACTCATCAGAAATGCGAGACACTAAAGCAGAAAATGATCCTGTCTTGGTGAAATGTGGTCCTGCTGGTGCTGATTTAAACGTAATGACCTGTTGTTTACCCACTGGGTTTGATTAGCTGTAATCTGGGTTTCAGCACTCAGCTTTGGGTTCCCCCAGGTGGCTAAAAGCCTTACAAAGCTCCCAGATTATTCCTCTAGTTGCTTGCTCTTGTTTAGGTTGGGGCTCTGAATAGATGCAAACAAATAACACAGCAATCAGTCCTGCATTAGATCCAAATGTATGACATCTGGTCATAATCCCAACTCATCTGAGTGTTTGTTAGCGTCTTTAAACATTTCTGTGATTTCCTTCCTGCTTTCCTCCCTAACCCAAACCCTCCGGTTTTCACCAGCTGGGTTTTAACACACAGACAAAACCTTTCAACACTCAAAATGTTGTTTTGACTGTCCCGCAGTGGATGAAGGAGGCGGGGCTGTCCTGGAGCTTTAATAGCAACACAGATTAGACGGGTTAATCCCGGTGGAAGGAGGGACTATTAAATATGTGTTTGGGCAGCAAGAAAAAAGGAGTCAGTAAGACAGGAAGAGTCTGTTGTTTGGAGAAAAAAACAAGGATTCAGAAAAGGTAGGTGTGTTTATTCGAAAAGGAGTAAGGATAATTCTAGTTTATTTTTATCTCCATGCTTGGTGTCAGGCTGCAAGAGGACCCATAAGGCCACAGATCCATCCTGCATGCTTTTAAGTTTTCCACGTGCGTTTTAGTTCAGTCTGTGTCATCACGACCAGTGCCTGTAACCATGACAACAGGATTTTCCTCTCTATTGAAGACGCTGGAAAGACAGAAGATGTCTGTGGACTCCATGAACAGACCGCTGATGATGGCTGCCCTCAACGGCCTCTACGTGGCCCGAATGCCCGCCATCAGGACTCCAGGGGAGGACGGCGCTAAGTCAGCATCGGATGAAAGGGTGAGACGATCAGTTATGTCCTTAGTGCTCTTTTTACAGACTGACAACTTAAAAGCTACTCATTTTCACTTTTGACGTAAAAAAAAAAGCTGAGTTTGAAGAGATTTAAGGTCAAATCTGAAGTTTGTTGCAGCAGGTCAGAGAATCTGGCTCGCTCACTGATCACATGGAATTAATTAATTCCACTTCCCGCTTAAACAGTTTGCTTCATATTGAGTGTTGAGAGGGGGGGGGGGTTGAAACCCAGGTTTGGTCCCCTTGCTTTTGCTAAGCTAACGGGGGCAATCCCCTTAGTGGGCTGTGGAACGCGTGGCACGATGGTGCTTATCGTCTCCGGGCCCGCTGCTATGTGAAGAATGTGACCCGAGAGAGGGTGAGCCAACCACAGAGAAAAAAAGGAGAAGAAAGAACGATATTCTGCTCTTCCAAACATGACCGGTTTATTAAATATGCAGCCCCCTGAGGAAGAATGCCCTCTGTGTCTCTATGTGTTGAGCTTTTAGAGGTAGTGCACTTTGAGGCCTTTGATTCTGGAGCCTGTTTCCAGCAGCGAGTGATGACGACAGTTTAGAGAGCTCCGAATGTATTGTAATGAGATAGATTCTTCTGGGCTGAATGGTCTCCAGGCTGTGACGGATGGTAAAAGACTTGGACAAAGAAGAACCAGCAGATGACGTAAAGCTCTTGTGTCTGATGACCGTCCCCTCTCTTTTTTCCTCCTCAGTGTAAGACCTTGGAGCTGACGCTGGAGGAGGAGCGGGTCTTCACCGAGTATGAGCAGGTGCCTAAGAAGAGGGCGAGCTGCATGGTCACGACTGCGACTCTGCCCGAAAACGTGGAGCGCAATCGCTTTCGGGATGTGGTCCCGTACGAGGAGAACCGAGTCGAGCTCGTGCCAAACAAAGAGAACAACACGGGCTACGTTAATGCCTCACACATCAAGGTGTGGTCTACTTCTAAGGGTCAAAGGTTGAGTGTTAAATATGTAAAACCAACCTGTGCTCATTATTTATCAAATAATCTATCCCTGTGGGATATTTTATTCAGTTGCTGTGCATAGACTGACACAAAACATCCGACAGGAAGTTAACTGCAGGATCTGGCATTGAATTGGAGAAACCAGGGAGTATATATGCAGAGAGACGCAGTTGGGTTGAGAAAGGAGGAATTAAACGTCTTTGGAGTTTGTTGCCTATTCCAGTAACATGAATATAAAACACCTCAAATTCCTCTTTTTCATTAAAGTTACAGTGCCGTTAGTTGTCATCACACATTGGTGAAGGTACGTTTCTGCATTTGACCCATCCCTGTGGGGAGCGGTGAGCTCCAGCTGCGGCTGTGCTCGGGAACTATCTGCTGGTTTATGATCCATAAAGTCTGAAACGTAATTTTATTAAAGGTGCGCAACACTGAATACATTTCTTATTGATTATTTCTGATTATAATCGAACACTCCGAGTTTTTCGTGCAGGCTGAACATGAAGATAGTCTCCTACACCTATCTCCTGCATTAGCTTCTGATAGAAAACAGACGTTTAAACTTTATGATTTGAAAAACCTGAAAGATCTACACCACACTGTCATCCATAGTGGAGGGGCAGGCTGTTGTTGTTTTAACGCCCAGAATCGGCAGAGAATGTCTCGGTTAGCAGAAGCTAACCATTAGCATTAGCAACTCCACCACACAGCAGAAGCTCCTCCAGAGTTGTGCTGTTTGAGGAGATGAACCATCCACGTTGCACACCAAACTGAGTCAGCGGTAGAATCGTGTTGCAGTTATCCGATCCGAGGTGAGATTTCCAAATATCAGGAAATAACCCCCAAATTCCACTACCTCCGCTCCGGTCCGCCCCCTCCTTCCGCAGCCGCTCGCTTCCGAACTCAATTTTTACTGGTACCCGCTCTACAACGGCTCCGCTCTGGTGCGGAGGCCTGAGGTGGGCAGACAAGCATGCGCGGGATTTTCAAGATCTTGCGTCCGAGCAATAAACGCGGAAGTTAGATCCAAACACCCGTTGTGTGGGAGAAGCATCGAAATGAACAGTTTAATCTGCCCATCATTTGTGTTGAGAGATCAGTAGTGTTTGGATCAACAAAGTGTGACTACTTTGATAGTAGAAACTGTATTTGTGGCTTACTTTTGTGCATTTAAACTTGAGCCGCCATTGATAGTTGTTAAAGTTGTTAAACCTGTGCATATGAAACAAAAAGCGCCTTTTGTTTATCGATTTATTGTGAAAAACGGAAATTGTGCTTGCTCCTTTTCCTGTTGGGCGGTTGTGATTTCTGTCCATTTACTGCGGAGGTGCTCCGGCGTCCGGCGAAAATAGGATAGATTCTATTTTAGCCGGACACCGGAACAGAGGGCGGCGCACGGCGCCGCACTGCCGGAGCACAGCCGGAGCACAGCCGGAGCACAGCCGGAGCACGGCCGCAGTAGTTGAATTGCTCTGATTGACTACAACGGGACCGATTTTGCTCCGGCGTTCGTGTCGGAGCACAGCGGAGCGGAGGTAGTGGAATTTGGGGGTAAGAGACCAAATCCTGCCGTGTGAAGCTGTCCTCTGATGTTGCAGACTTATCCCTGCTGAGCCAGGCGTTTGTGGGCTTCCTGCGCCCTGAGTACGGCGGCAAGGCATTAATTCCTACCACTGGAAATGTATTGATTAAATTAGTGAACCACACCTGTAACCATTTTTCCTTTTTCCTATTATTTAAAACACCTCCCTGCTTGACGTCGAAAGATTTATTCACACTGCTTATGGATATGTTTTTATAATTTATTTTCTCTAATTTATTTGCAAATTAACCAAATGTTCAAAAATTTCAACCAGGTTTGTTCAGAAATGAAGGGATTTCATATAGGGAACTGAACAATGAAATATTTACCATTTCTAACCCTAACTCAGTCAGTGTCTTAAAGCCAATTCATGAAAATAACACATTGATCATATCTGCTTAGAATAAAAGTCTAAATTAAAATTCTAGTGTTTACTATGTTCTGAAAAACGTCTAATCTCAGAGCTTTTTGCATCAGTGGTTTAATTCAGGCTGAATTACAGTGAAGAATAAAATAAATGAACAGAGTCAGGAAATAACTTGGAGGAGAGGATGAAAGGCAGCCATTGAAGGTTGTTTGGGCCCTTAAGCTCTAAGAGCTCTTTGGAATTACTAAAGAATGTAGTTCAAACTCCAACCCTCTTAAGAAACTCCAGTTTCTCTCATTGCAGTCTGTGAACACCAACTTAAATAATAAAAATGTGAAATAGAAGCTTGGTAACATCTGTCTGATTTATTTCCTTGGAATTAAGGTAGGGTGGTTTATTTAGGAAAATAAAGCACTTTATTCTTGATTCGACTAAAAGTACGGTGTTTACAATCAGGAGATGGACGAGAAACCAGTTGACCATTAGGTAAAAATGTTAGAACTGTGTGGAAAATGGAAAATGGGTAATTTTCATAATAAAGAGCAAAAAACTATGAGAGGAAAAAGTATCTATTTATACTGCCATCTAGTGGTGAATATGTGCAGAAACAGCGCTTTTAATCAAACGAAACCTCATTGTTTTACAGGTTTTCTTCATGAAGATTTGTGATATTAGTGTAGTTTTAATAATGATTAATAAATATTCTTTCTCAGGTTATGATCAGAGGGGAGGAGTGGCACTACATCGCCACTCAGGGCCCGCTGGCCCACACCTGCGGCGACTTCTGGCAGATGGTCTGGGAGCAGGGGGTCAATGTGATCGCCATGGTTACTGCAGAAGAGGTATACACAATGTGGCACACACAGATGTGAATAGTTTCTAGTGGCCAACAGCTGTTAGAAACAGATGGATATCTCATTCTCTACTTTCACCCACGAATCATCTCGTATCGATGTCCAATTCAGGAGTGCGGCAGGTCCAAGAGTCACCGCTACTGGCCCAAACTGGGCTCCAAACACAACTCGGCCACACACGGCAAGTACAAGGTGACCACCAAATTCCGCACCGAGTATAACTGCTACGCCACCACAGGGTTAAAGGTCAAACACTTGCTGTCTGGCCAAGAGAGGACGGTTTGGCACCTGCAGTACACCGACTGGCCTGAGCAGGGCTGTCCTGAATACGTCCCCGGATTCCTCTGTGAGTTAACGACGACAATGACAACTTTACCGTTTAACTCCTGAAGACTCACTCGGCTCTACGCCTCTTTTCTCCCTGCAGCCTACCTGGAAGGGATCCAATCTGTGAGGAGACACACCAACTCCATGCTGGATACCTCAAAGAGCCTCAACCCGCCAGTGTTGGTGCACTGCAGCGCCGGCGTGGGCCGTACCGGCGTGGTAATCCTCACTGAGCTCATGATCAGCTGCCTGGAGCACAACGAGGTGTGTAGATGCTCCTGTTACCACGGCGATTATTCATTCATATTAGTGCTGCAGCGCAGCCTCCTTCATAATTCTGTAAGTTTAAAAAATTCATCTTTTTTTTGTTTTTCCTTTCCTTCCAGCCAGTAGAAGTTCCCACCATGTTGTCAAAGCTGAGGCAGCAGAGGATGCTGATGGTGCAAACCATCTCCCAGTACCAGTTCGTCTACCAGGTCCTCATCCAGTTCCTCAAGAACTCCCGCCTCATCTGAGCCGGGGCAACCCGTTAGTGCTACTAGATGATCACCGTGGGACCCAAACTTATGGCGCTATAATGTAACCTGGTACAGACTCACAATTTGTTTTTGCAGAAATTAGAATTTTCCTTTCCTCAAAGTATTCAGATTTAGGTTTTTGTTTCCTTATCTTGATTTTGGTCTTTTGAACCTGATCTTCACGTAGGTTGGTTTAAAGAACAGCCTTTCTTTTCTGCCGTGTGTCTGCATGTGTGTGAGACTACAGGTGAGCATCATCAGCTTTGAGTCCCTGTTACATTTCATGTTCCAGCCAGTATTAGACTTGGTGTCATGCTGCATGAACAGTAGGGGGCAGCAGTGGTACAACATTCTCACCCTCGTTTTGCCAAACTAAAGTATTTTTTAATTCACCGAGTGTTGATTAGAACAGCAAGCACTGACTTCAGTTCTGTAACAGATATTTTATTTATTTTGATAAAAATGTGGTCACCTTCTTCTCGTTGTTGGCGAGCACACCGATCTGAACTCATTTACAGTTTTTCAGAATAATTCTTTGTAAACTTTTCTCACATTATCTGTGAAACAAATGAAAATAAAATCCAGTTTAGACCCATAAGAGCATTTGAAAAACACGAATGTTTTAAGTCATCTAGAAATTCCAAATGATCCCATTTCTATACAACTTATCACAGTTTTTACCGTGATTTAATACATTTTAGGCATTTTCCCAAAGTGGGAGGTCATTTATAATAATTATACAATAGAAGCTGTATATATAATCAGTGCCTTGAAAAATGCAACAAAAATAAACTTTTTATTTTAATTTAGACACTTAATTAGACAAACATCAACTATTCAAACTGTTATCTAACATAAATAAATAAATCAAATTAAATACTTTTCTTAATTTGAAATCAAAACCAGCCAACATTTAATGTACATAATGAACAAATGTGTCATTTCTGGACTTGGTACCTTTAAAATACCAGAACATAATAAACTATGCATGCATTTTTATATTTTTATGTATATATTTCAGCATATGTTCTCAAATAAGTATAAGCTTTGTTATGTTTTGGCTTAAAATCATTCGTTTTTGTTGCACTTCTGTTCTCTTTGACATTCCACCGTTTGTTTTATATTTAATTTCTTCTTTTCGTTTCCTGGCAATACACCTAATCACACTTCAGATGTGTGTGTACATACGTTTTGTTAAAGCATTTTGAGTGTTTTCTCTCCTCAGACACATGAAAATATTGGACTTGCCTATTATGCAAATAAAGCCTTATTTTCTTTAAGACTTTGGGGTAAAGATGGTTTTATTTGAGAATGTTTGAAATGTGAGTTTGTGTTCACAGATTAAGAGTTTGTGACGATGAAACACACACACACACACACACACACATGTTTAGTTAAAGAGGGTCTGTCAGACATGCCAATCAGTGCAAAACAGTTTTAATTGCAATATTAATGATCATCTCACAGTTTAAAAATACAAATCTCACAATGAATAAATCTTATATCCCATTTATCACAAAAACACCCCAAAAGAAACTTGTTACTTTGAGTTATCGTCATTAAAATGAGCCGGGCAGACTGTTTCTGAGGGAGTCCCCGCAAATGTTCACTATAGGGTTCAGCATCCTTGCATGACTTGCAGGATCTCACTCGTGAGTTGATGGAATTGGACCATTCAAAACAAAAAAAATAAGATAAAATTTGCAAATCACATTTTCTCTTTAAGTGTGTGCAGTTTTCCTTCCCAAACCCCTTAGTTAAAGAGTTTTGGCTCGCATTTAGCACCCCCTAGTGTCCATTTAGTAAAATCAAACAAATCAGCTGTGTTCACGATCTAAAACATGCAGGAAATGTGCTGGAAGCAGACTGCGTGACACAGATCCACTTTAATAAGTCCAACAGTAGGCGACCCACCACTCTGAAGTTGCAAGTGCAATATTCTGGCCACAAAGGTTGGTGGGAGTGTCTGAGTGACATTTCATTAACCCTGGGGTGTCAAACTCCCGTCCTCGAGGGCTGGTATCCTGGATCTTTGTGATGTTTCCCTGTTCCAACGCGGTTGGTTCACCTGTGCAGCGGCTCATCAAGCTCTCCAGAAGCCTTTTAATCACCCGCTGATTGAAATCAGGAGTGTTGAAACAGGGAAATCACTAAAACGTGGAATAGCGGCCCTCGAGGAACGGAGTTTGACACCTGTGACATACTGGCTCAAAAAATAATTAAAAAATATGACAAAGTTGCATAGTATGCCTTTAGCCTGTCACAAAGTGTAAGAAAAGTTAGAGCACTTGGGAAGGGGCTGACGTCTAAGCTGTAAACGAAGACATATGCAATGCACGTTTGACCTAATTTAAGTTAGCTTTGCACAAGTGTTGCACGGCTGTCACAGTTTACTCACAATCACATCTCACGTTCTGCGACTAGTTGGTCATTTCTAAGACTTGTCACAAAACAAACATTCCTCACACGTTTGCGTCTCTTAACTAGTCACCAACAATCCCAACCACATGCCACACCGGCCTAAGCACGGCCCTCTTTTGGCTTCTGTAGTTTCCGACCCGAGTTAAAGTAAAGGGCAAGCTCACGGTTCTGTTCAACATCAAGTCAAATTATCATTTGGGCGAGTTGCTTTAATTAATTCTTTATTTTTGACCCATCTCTCTGCGCACTTCTTTAATGTAGGGGTGATCCTTCCCATGAGCCACCTCCATTATAGCCAGTGCCTGTTTGAGGAAACAAACACCTCACTACTGCATCATTTTCTGTATGACTGTGTGTTTATATGTAAAATCAGCACAAATGTACCTTCTTGAGGGCGCTGACGCCCTCAGAGCGCCTCTCCACATTCATGTAGATTCGACCCAACTTCAGGTACATGGAGGACACGTTTAAGGAGTATGGAGGATACAGCTTGCTGGATTAGATACAAAAAGGAATTTCGAGGTATTATTAATTGCATTTGAAGTGTAATTTAAATGCTGCAAATGCAATCATTAAAGTTTTCTCAATCGGCGTAGATATATCAGTACCTGTAAGGTTTTAGGAGTTTCTTTCCATATCTGATGGCTCCGTCTGCATCTTGCATGTAAATGCAAACCCCCATGGCTTGGTACATCATGTGCAGCATGTAGACGTTAGAGTCATCAAAGACGGCTCCCATCTCCTCCAAACTCTGCTCGCACATCTCCAGTAGCTCACTGGGACGTGCTAATGAGTTAAGGCACTTAAACTGGGCTGGGATTGAACAAAAACGATTGGAAAGCAATGTTACGCCCATAAGTTCCCCCTGAGTCAGCACCTTGGACAGCGCCCACGTGTTTGGGAGGAGGTAAAAAAAAACATCTGACCTGTAACTGTCATTCCTCGTAAGTAAACGTAACAAGCTCAGACATGTTTAGTGAAAACGATTGGTGAAAAATTTGAAAATGATTATTTATTAAAAGGATATTTTTAACATTTTTAAGAGCTCTGAATTCTCGGATGGAGTTCCTGCCGTAGCGCACCATGTTGCTGATGACCTGTGGCTCAAAGGGGTCACTTCTCTTCCGGACTTTTACCTTTGCATTGTCCTTGAAAATAAAAAAGACATTTTTGTTATCAGGCCTAAGTAACTGATGACACGCTCTGATTTTAATTAGGAACCAGATTTCCAAGCTCGAAAAAAAAATCCACTGGATGTCCCACAAAGTTGAACCGTAGACCAGCCTTGACCTCAGAACTCAGTATGGCTGCGTCACACATTATGATGCAAAATAACAGATATTGGGTTGTTGCTAATTGTTGTTAGCATTGAACAAATCCAACCCACTCAGTATTTATGTTCGGCTTACTTTGGACTTGGTTTTGCATTCATTGCAGTCGCAGGTGAAGTAATAGGACTCTCTCAGCCTCTTGTTGCGATCCTCTGTTGGATAAAGCAGGTCTATGTAGCTGATGAGCACCTGGACCAATAAACCAGAACAAATAAAACTGTCTTCAGAAGCGATTTTATTTTTGTTTGTCGCCAAATTTCACCCAAAATGATCAAATTTCAAATGAGACGGATGATTAAATTGCCATTAACCCTATTCTGAACATGTCTGAGTTTTCATTTCCACTCTGTTCCATGAGTCGGATCATACTGGGACCTGTTTTCTGATTAATATTTCCAGATTTTTCAGGGAAATGCTGATAGCTGAAAACTCAAAGTGACATTTTTTAACCTCTTTAAATGTTTTTTTACCCTTTAGTAATTTTTAAAGTTTTTCGATTTATTCAACAAATCCAGATTGAAGTCATCCGTTATGGTGGTGAGATTTTAAATCTGGTGGAACAGGCTTGCTTCTTACTATAATTCAACATGAAAGCTGCATGATTGTACACATAATGCACTTGAGTTTTTTCTGGAAATGAGTAGTCAGGGAGCAGATTTCCAAACTGATTTGCATTTAGTGTCATATTCATGCAAAATAGTAAGGAAATATTTTTACAGAACAGAAAAATAAAGCAGAACTGAAAAAGTTTGGTAAGTAAATATTTGATAGTGTTGTGTAATCCACATGTTTGATTGTTTCTGGTCATTTTCCGTCAAATAATTCTATTTATCATTTATCTGCTTTTATACAGGCCATGTGGCTCCCTCCTTTATGCTTCAAAATCAAAACAAGCTCCGCCCCCTTTAACAACAGCTGACAGTTTTCCTCACTTCGTCTCCTGGTTTCATGTTCTGCACGGCCCGGACCTCGCTCGACGTTCCGTTATACGTGACTATGACACTGGGCAGACAGCTGTGGTTGATCAGAGCCACGCTGAAGGGAGACACAAAGCAAAAGAAAGAAAGACTTCAGGGATAAAAGGGTTTAACCTAGATGGTCTAAGGGTAATGGTGCTGCGTCTGCTTGTCATATTTCATATTTAATCTGTGTTCTTGCAGCATTAAACGCCTTACTCTGGATAGATCGCAGCGCCCATCTGGAAAAGTTCATCATCCTCTACTGTGAAACCGTTACAAGCAACCTGTTGACCACATGAGAGGAAGTAAAAGATCAAGTCACTTTGGATCGCAGAAAGATGAAAATTTTACCTTTTTTACAAGTGTACCTGGGAATAGAGTGTGAGCAGGTCTTTGTGGTCAGGCATTTCTAAATGTTTGGAGTAAAATCGATAAAGGGCGGCAATGTCAGCCTCGGTACCCTCTCTCTTCTCGTTATCTTCATCCTCCAGATCTGACCCAGGCAGAGAGAAGTTGTGTTTTAATATTTTTCTCTTGTTTTGGTCAATTTTTGACCCCTTAGGGCAGCATACTTTATATTTTAAAACAACAAAATCTTCCTTTTACAACACAATCACTGACCAAATGAACAGCTGGATTCCTCACGACAGGGAAGGCTGTTGTTATTTTAGCGTTCAGAAATCAACAGACAATGTCCCGACTGGTAAAAGTTAACTGTTAGCATTAGCAACTCCACTACACAGCAGAACTCCTCCAAACCTGTGTTATTTGTGGAGATAAAACATCCACATTGCAAGTCAGTGGTAGAGTCACGTTGCTGTTATCCAGTCCGGGGAAAGATGCCCAAATATCAGGAACTAAGACTCCTTTCGTGTTCTGCCCAGGGGCGTGTCCAGGGAGTGGCCTGGGGTAGCACATGCCACCCTTGGAATCTGATTGGCCACCCCAGGTGCCACCACACTAATTTACTTTTAAATAGGCTTTTCATTGTCCATAAAAAGCTTGGGGGTAAAACAAAAAAGCACAACCATTGGTGCCACCCATGCACAAAGTTGTGCCTCACCTGGGCCACCCCATTTTAAAAGATCTGGACACGCCACTGGTTCTGCCACTCTGCTGCAGCAGACTTATCCAGGCTGATTCAGGAGCTTTGGGGAATTATTATTTTTTTGCCCAGAGTATGGCTCGCAAGGCATTCAATTCTACCAGAGACCACTGCAAATGTATTAATTAGGTAGGTATCCCACACCTTTAAACACCGAAAGTAAAGCTGCTGATCATCATCACACCAGCTCAAAATTCTGGTTGTTTTATTCCAATTTTAAAATCGGTCATCAGCACCGATCGATCATCCTTCCACTGCTGCTTCATGAAAATGGCAAAACAGACCAAATCCAACAATGAATCTGTGCAACATTCAGTGAAATCCTGATCTGGAGTTTCTCCAGCCTGATGTTGAGACTTACCCTAACACGTATAATGATTGGATTTTTAAAATATGTCATCATTTATAAAAATGTCCGTCTTATCTGAAACATGCACATTATGCTCTCGTGTATTTCCATTTGTTCATTGTTAGTGATTTCCAGTTTCAGGAGTTCATCTGCTCGCGTTCCTCTCCTGCACTTATCACCCTTCACTATTTAAACAGTCCCCAGTTTCACCAGGTCTTCATCAGATCCTCCCGGTCTGGAAAGTGTCGACAAATGTTCCGGCTCATCACTGGAATCAGAAGTTGTGCATGTCTTCATCGATTTGTGATAAGGGACAAATCACTCACGTGACTGCAGCTCTCCTATGAGCAACATCTTCTCAGAAGCAGATGGCTCTTTCTGCATTTTCTGCAGAGAACAGGAGCCTTTGCTGTAAATTAACTCCATAAATTGCAGCAGAAGCTTTGAAATGCCCCAGATTTCCAGGGTTTTTACCTTCTTTGCTAGGATTCGAGCTACCAGGCGAGTCGTCTCCGAAGGGCACCAGTTTTCTCCAAACGCAGTCATGGCTGAACACTCCAGCTTGTGCATGGGCCAGTCACCTTTCTTTATGTACACACATTCAAACTATAGTAAATAACTTTATTGACATGCAACACAAATGTGACTCTTTTCAGTATTTGTCCCAAAGGTAAGCTAATGTTAAAGCAAAACAATAAACAAAGGACCTCTTTACCCATTCAGCATTAGGGTTAGCCCAATAGGCTAACACACTGTACACACACTTTATAACAGCAGCATTTATGGAAGCATGTATTTTATTTGTTAAACATATAATTACTTCAATTCATTTTAAATTGGAAAATAATATTTTCTATTATTTTCATTATTCTTGTTTTTTTTTTTAAAGTCGCTCCAACTTCAACACCTCCAAATCTGAGACCATGGTTCTCGACCGGAAAAGGGTGGCTTGCCAACTCCGGGTGGGGGGAGAGGTCCTACCTCAAGTGGAGGAGTTTAAGTATCTCGGGGTCTTGTTCACGAGTGAGGGTAGGAGGGGTCGGGAGATCGACAGGCGGATCGGTTCGACGTCTGCAGTGATGCGGACGCTGGGCCGATCTGTCGTGGTGAAGAGGGAGCTGAGCCAGAAAGCCAGGCTCTCGATTTACCGGTCGATCTACATCCCAATCCTCACCTATGGTCATGAGCTTTGGGTAATGACCGAAAGAACGAGATCGCGGATACAAGCGGCCGAAATGAGTTTCCTCCGTAGGGTGGCCGGGCTCAGCCTTAGAGAAAGGGTGAGGAGCTCGGACATTTGGGAGGGACTCGGAGTAGAACCGCTGCTCCTCCGGATCGAAAGGAGTCAGTTGAGGTGGTTTGGGCATCTGGTCAGGATGCCTCCTGGACGCCTCCCCGGGGAGGTGTTTCGGGCATGTCCTGCCGGCAGGAGGCCCCCGGGTCGACCCAGGACACGTTGGAGAGGTTACATCTCCAATCTGGTCCGGGAACGCCTTGGGGTCCTGCCGGAGGAGCTGGTGGAGGTGGCTGGGGAGAGGACGGTCTGGAGCTCCCTAGTTGGGATGCTGCCCCCGCGACCCGGACCCGAATAAACGGAGGAAGACAACGACGATGCCACCTCCAACTCTTCATTTTTGGAGTTCAGTTGAAAATCACAGAAATCTGAAATGGAATCACTCCAAAGAGGTTTCATTAGAGATAAGGACATGGTCCTTACACTTTTGGAGCAGGTTTAACCCTGACTTCGCCCTGGAGGCATCAGCGATGTGAAACGGCTCGCACTAATCCACACCAGGAGAGTCTCAGGTGTGGAGCGGCTTCTCTGCCATCCTCCTCGCTAGACTTGTGAGATCACAAATTCCCTTGAGACTTCAAAGGTCACTGTTTGTTTATGCCATCTGCCATTAAACAACAACAAAAAAGAAGTAGAAGGAAATCACGTTTGATGATATCACCAATATTATGTCATACATAATATTATTGTTCCTCTCCTCTGCCGGTATTAAAGCCATGAAAAACACTCCGCTGCCTTTCAGGTAGCAAATGAAGCCGTGAGGTCACACATATAGACATAATCTACATAGATATGAAATTGCATCACTGCAATAGTCTTTTATTTAGAAAGTTACCAGGCGTTTTACAATCCCTTTGTGATTTCCTGTCCTGCGAAAATTGACGTGTCCCAGAAGCGGCGTACGGCAAAAAAAGAACTTGTCCTATCTTTAGCGGTGCAACACGGTGTGGCTCGGCGTGGCGAGCTGCTTCTGGGACGCGCCTGAAATCTTCCATGCCGCGGCCGGTTTGAATCAACTCCACAGACTTGAATGGATGCTATTTGAAGCAGTGACGTTCCTCTGCCGTTCTGTGCCGCTGACGCCTCCGGCGTGAAGTCGAGGTAAGACAAAAGGTCCTTCAGGATGTAAACTCTACTTCTCTGAACACAGGCTGCTCAGGTTGCAATCTATAACAGGTAATATTGAACATTTACATGGAAACACACTTCAAAATGGCCATATTCATCCTGTGAAGAATGTACATCGGCCCAACTAATTCTTGTCAAGTCATTCGACTCATGGAGCTGCACAGACTTTTAAAATGATTTATTTGCTCTTTTTACCATTCGCAACATTTTTGTTCCGGCTGTCTTCTGATTCCTACCTGGCACTTCAGATCGCAGTAGCACGCTTTCCTGCACTTCCCACATCTTGCCAATCCCTCTTTCCTATAAAACAAAAACCTGGTTAGGGTGTTCATGGCATGTACTGGATCTTAAAAACCATCATGCAGTTCACGACAATAATCAGCACCAACATCAGAGCTCATAGGGTGGGAGCCTGCAGAACAACAGTCAGCATTCATTATGAAAGTGTTTTTATTAAACTATCTTTGTATCTGGGTGTGTTTACGTTTAAAAACCCAAGAATCAGCAGAGGCTGGAGGCCTGCAGTAACTGATAGCAGAGAGGAGCTTTCAGTGGTATAAATAGAGCAGAGCAGCTGTCTGCAGCACACTGAAACAGCAAAGGAGTCCATGTTTCTGAGATATTTCCAGTTCAAAGACACACAAAGTCCAAATAATCTGCTCTCTCTCTCAGACGAGGCCAGCTCAGACCAAACATGTTTGTTCTGTTATAAATCTTTTCTGCTAAACAGATTCCTAAAAATGACCCGGAGCCGTGCTCTGGATGTTTATAAAGCTGCACAAATCATTCTAGAGACAAGTTTGGGAGGAATATGATTCAATAGTAAGAATGTGACTCAAACCAGGAAAATTTGGATGCAGTAACAAGGTTGCAACCGGAAAGAACAGAATGAATAGTTTATTTTTTTACCTGCTGAAGCAGAACTCACAGCAGGAGCCTCTCTCTTTGACTGACAGGACACAGGAGTACGCCGGACTGGAGAACAGCAGCTCTCCCACTTTAAACGGTCTGGTGACCTGGAGACCTCGTCCCTTTACCGGGCTGGTGAACCTCTTCAGACCCGCAATACTTCCAGTCATGGCTCCGTCCTGTTGAGCCTGGGGAAAGAAGAAGTGGGATGTGGCTGCACTGCACTTTTAAGTACTGGGGCGTCCCCCTGCCAATCTGACACCAACACAGAAAGGCACAGGCCGACGCTTCGTTCATCACATGACTATGAAAACCAACAGAGTATTAAAGCTAAAAGATGTTGAGAAATCTTGCAACTTTGCCACAGTATTGTGCAGTCTGTTAAGGTTTTTGATGGGAATGACTCCCAGCTACTATCAAATCAAGTTTTAGCTTAATATCCCCCAAACAGACAGAATTATACCCTTTTTTTCACTTTGAAAGGATTGAAAGGTGGCCATCTTGACTTGAATTGGCTCTAAAAATGATTCAGTTGTAGATTAACATGAAACAATCAATGCATAAATGTTTCATTAAATCCATCCAGTAGATCATGAGATGTTTAAGGGAGCTAAGAGGTGCTTTCATGCTATTTTAAAATGCAACTTTCTTTGAGGACAAATGAGATAATCTAAATCAGTTTTAACTCTAAAACCTAACGTATGCTCCAAATAACAATTAGAATAACACATAAAATATGCTTTGATTCATTCCTAAACATTACTTTTACTACAGTTCCATCTGGTGGTGAGGGCCAAGAGTGTCACTCAACCTGACAGCTGCTCACAAATCCATTAGCCACAAAAACCCCATAAAACATGAAGCACGTCCAGATCTACTCGTCTCTCAGCACACTGTGCTCATTTGTCTATATGTAGAATTGGGCATAATAATAATAAATAATAAAGTTTCTAATGCCAGCCCACTTTTGTCACATTGCGCCATCATGTGGATGTTTGTTGTAAGTGCACCATCAAACAGAAGAGAGCTTGGCCCAGACAAATCAGAGATGCAGACAGGTGATCAGGCAGAACTGAGAGGACTGCAAATAGAGACAGGGAGGGCTTAAGTCAGGGAGATGAGCCACAGACACACACACACACACACACACACACACACACACACACACACACACACACACACACACACACACACACACACACACACACACACACACACACACACACACACACACACACACACACGGGCACACGCACACGCACACGCACACACACGCGCACACACACACATGCACACACACACGCGCACACACGCACACACATTCGCGCATGCGCACACACACACACACACACACACACACACACAAACACACGCACACGCACGCACACACACATACGCGCATGCGCGCGCACACACACACACGCACACACACATACGCGCATGCGCGCACACACACACACGCACACACACATACGCGCATGCACACACACATGCACACACACACACATACGCGCTCAAACCACAGTGAAGATTTGTCCCTCATCTCTATCTGAAGGCTTTATCCAACCTTACCCCAGTTTCCCAGCGATTTATTATAATTCCATTTTTTCAGTCTTTCAATCTAAAGATTTGTTCCTCCTCATTTTTAATAACACACAAGCAAAGGGAGGCATGTCCCCGGGAGATTACGCTGACGTCTGTGGCATCTCGTCTTGATTGCATCAGAGGAACAGGATTTGATTTGGAAGAAACCCCCTCTTTGCCATCCACGATCTCTTTAGACCTCCCCGTTTGGGATGATTTTCTTGCGCCGTCACAGGAACCTTGATGAGTATGATCCGAATCAGAGGGAGGTAGAGAGGGATTAGGTGAAGGGATTATAATTTCCAGTGATGAGAAATAATAAGAAACAATAAATCCTAAATAGATTTAGTTCTCAAGAAAACCCTGTTAGGATAAATCTGGAGAACAAGAGACAGCAGAGGGATATTAAACTGAAACTAACTGTAGCTTTTGATAAGATCAGTCCTTTCTTTGACTTGCAAACCATAATTTAGCAGCATATTTCACTAATACGTTCTGAAATGATTTATAAAATCTCCATCTGATCTTTGTTTTTAAAAAATGACTGATTGTATAAATGGAACTAAAATAATCTCTAACTTTTTGTTTGTTTTAAATGTAGCTTTCAGTGTCCAGAATGAATGTGTCACCAGCAGGTAGCTATTTGAAGAACCTCAGTTTGGAAAAACACAGATTTATTCAAACAGGATTGATGAGCTAAAGGTCAATACCAAATTACAACAACTTTGATCTCAAAAATGTTTCAGACGTTCATATAAACGCTGTCTAAGGCCTAAGGCCTAAACAAATCTCTCATCGTCACAAAAAACAGTGAACATGAGAGTAATTTACAAGTCTGTGGCTGTCCAGTTGACCAGCTCTGCGACAGCTTAATCCTGATTTATACTTCTCCATCGGCGTCCGTGCGGAGACGCGCAACGCCATTATGTGTCGGCGCAAGGGCTCTCTTACGGGCTCACGGAGGGTGACTGACACATGCCCAAAATTTTAAACATGTGTCGAAAGTGACGGAGACCGCAAGCTTGTGATTGGCCAGGATGCAGCTCCCTGTATTTTCGCCACCAGCACAGCTGCAGCTCCGTTAAAACAGATATTTGGCAGCAGAACAGATTGGAGAACTCATCGTGGAAAAGTCCGAAAATATGAACAATTCTTCACCCGTGACTGAAGCAGTACAAAAATGGAAAATGTGGGTTTAGAAGTGGCGACCGCCTGAAGAGGTGGAGGAGAACGAAGAACAAATTTGTCCGTGATATAAAATCTCTGAAATATGTGAAATCATCAGTAAAAACACTATCGGGGACCAGATTAGTGTAATGGTGGCAAGATACCACAGGCCAGCACTACGCCCCCTGTCGTCCTGGTGGGGAATTGCTTTGCAACACTCCGCTGCCTGAACAGAAGTTTGAATGTGAAAACCTGTCCGACACTCCGTGCGGCATCTTTCCGTTGCGGAGCTCACGGAGAAGCATAAATCAGGCTTTAATGAGCACTCACTACCAACGTCCGCCTCCAACAGTCTTCAAGCACTACTACTACTACACTGTAAACCTACGACTCCTATTTGTAATGGACCAATGAGAACGCTCCCAGGGAGCAACGTGAACAGCTAGCGATGGGAGTGCAACGCGAGAGTAGCATTAGCAACATTAGCAACAGTGGAAGCTACACGCAGGAACAGGTGGACCACCCCTTTATGGAGTTCAGGTTCAGAGACTAATAAAAGAAGTGTGTGGTAGAATTATCAATTATAAATAAATAAATAAATAAATAAATATTTGGCTGTTTATGTTCATTTTGTATTTTGTTTGTTTTGGGTCAGAGAGGGCTGCATTCATGAAAATAGTCTGCATAACATCTATTTATCACACATTTAATTCCAGAGCTACTGAAAACTCTGGAAGGCTTTAAAATACTTAATTGATTATTAAATAAATTTCCTGTTTTTATTCTGTCATTCACTCATGAACTGAATCATCACAAGTCTTTGTTTTTATTGTCATTTTATTTTCATCCTATTAAATTTATTAAATTAAAAACATACTGGGGGGGGGGGTCATTTTCGTGTTCTGTAATTTTTAGTTTCATTTGGTCTAAAATAAAATATAATAAATAGGAAAATGATGGTAAAACTTGCAGCTTTGTCTGTAGTTATGCTGCTATAGGCTTAGACTGCTGGAGGATACACTGACCACTTTTCACACTCTACTACTTTCTTCTACAATCTGCTCTTTAACTGTATTATTTTCTGCTATTTCAGCTGTTAACTTTATTTTCTCTCTAAGTGTTTTTCTCCCCAGAAGAAGCAACAACGATGTTCTGCTGAGCTGTGGTGGCCTCATGGAGGGGGCCATCGTCTAGCACACTGCTGCTAACCACTAAAACATTCTCCCTCTCCTGAAAATAACTTTTTGTTTCCTTGACGTTGGATGTGCTACTGCTAGTTTACCCATTTAATTATAGATCCACTAGGATAAATACAATAAAGTTTATCTCTCACCAAATAGAATAATTACTAAGAAATCACAATGTAACTATAGACACATTACTTTGTCTTTGTGTGTGTGTGTGTGTGTGTGTGTGTGTGTGTGTGTGTGTGTGTGTGTGTGTGTGTGTGTGTGTGTGTGTGTGTGTGTGTGTGTGTGTGTGTGTGTGTGTGTGTGTGTGTGTGTGTGTGTGTGTGTGTGTGTGTGTATGTGTGTGTGTGCTCTGTCTTCTCCATCCCCAGTGAGTCGTGGAGGATGGCTGCTTATACTGAGCCAGGATTCTCTGGAGGTTTCTTCCTGTTAAAAGGGAGTTTTCCTCTCCACTGTCGCTTTATGCTTGCTTAGTATGAGGATTGCTGTAAAGTCACTGACACTAGTCAGTGACTCGATGCAATTTGCTGGGTTCCTTATATAGGAAACATTATTTCTGATTGGCTTAATGAACTGACCTGTATTGGAATGTTTATTATGTGAAGTGCCTTGAGATGACTCTTGTCGTGATTTGGCGCTTTATAAATAAACTTGAATTGAATTCTTAAGTGTGAGAAATTAAAACGATTAAATCTCTAATTCAATACAACTAAAGCAGAAAACATCGTTGCTTTGTTGTATTTGAACCCGCTTCTCATTCCCTAACTCTGCACAGACTGCTGCTGTTTTCACTCCCTGATGAAACGGTGTGTGTATGTATTTATACCTCCTGACCATGCTGCTGATTGATAAATGTAGTACACTGATGCAGTACATCGTCACATTGGGGACCTCATAAAGCAGCAGCCGATAATGCCTCTTTGCCACGAGGTCATGGATGAGGGTTGTGTGTGAAATCCAGTGTGGTTAAAGATCTCTGCTGCTTTGGTAGTCAGAGCTGCGGTCAGCCGAGGCCTCCTCGCTCACGACCTTGTCATCAGGCAACAGTGCTAACCAGGGGTCGGCATAAGGGCAAGGTTGCAGAGATGGACTGTCTGCAGAAAGAGAGAAAGAGAGGACGGTGATAATTGCAGGGCGTGTGTGCATTCCAAGACTAGATGTATGTGTTTAAAGCACACACACGTGCACGTGTTCCACATTCTTCTTGATGAACTCACTTGCCTTGACAGAGACGATGTCTAGTGTTTCTCTGTCCCTCGTCG